GGGGTAGCCCCTCTTCCACGTGGGAGACCCGGGTTCAATCCCCCGGTCCAGACACTTCTTGGACCAGCCGCCACCATCACGTGTGATGCCACCACCAGCCTGCCAATGCGGCCGGCCTCATCGTTCTCGCTTGGAGTGGCTGGGGGCTTCGACCGCTCCCCTTCCCGTCAGCAGCCCAGCTCATACCCCCTCTGCCACCTGGCTCCCTGATCAGCTATATCGTTTGTTCTTTTAGTTGTTCTTTCTTCCAGTGGTGGGTGCCATTGCATTTTGCAAACACACCGTGGTTTGTGCAGCCATTCTGTGGCGGGTGCGCATTTGGGCTCTTTCCAGTTTTTAGCTGTTTTGGGGAAAAAGCTGCGTACAGGTTGTGTGCACATCTGTTGATGGCTGGGTGCACTAAATTCTCTTCTATTTCGAGTGAGAGGTAGGACGGCTGGGTCCGAGGCCTTCCATATTTTCTTTACTAAATCGTTTTATGGGGGGCTCTTGCAGCCCTTAGAACCACCCAGACATCCACTGTACCCCGCCGGCTTTGAGCTTTAGCCCAGCCACAAAGACTTTCCTAACCTTCTGTTTTTCTAAATCGTTCTATTGAGCACGTGATTCAATATCACAACCACATCAAGGCAAGGCATGCAACCATCACCCTAATCGACGTGGGAACACGTTCTTCCTTCCTGTGTCCGTGGGTGTGGATGCCTCAGTGCCCCCAGGGAGTTATTACTCCAGTTGCTATCTCCCTAGATCCACCCGTCCCGACTTTCCCTGGCGGGGGTGGGGGGTGGGGGGGAGGGCCTACAAAAGAAAGACAAAGTCCTTGATAAACGGACAGTCCCTGAGCAACGTGGAGCACTCTCAGACCCACTGTCGTCAAGGAAGGCCGACCCGCAGGGACCCCGCAGGACAGATCTGACACTACCACTGTTTACAGGAGTAGAAAAGCCCATCTTTCTCCCAAGGAGCCGCCGGTGGTTTGGAACCGCGTACCTTGTGGCTGTCAGCCTCGCTCACTCGCTGTAACCACTTGATACTACTCTTGATGTTTCCCCCCCTCTATATGTTACCGGGTTTTTGTTGTTGTTTGATACAAGACACTACAAAATTACACCCAGTCGACAGTTTCTACAAGGACAATTCGATGGCATGGACCACATTTCTTGCAGGAGCCCGGCGTAGCAGGCGGCGTAGTGGGTTACACATTGGGCTCCGCAAACCACAAGGTCAGCAGTTCAAAACCACCAGCCACTTTGTGGATGAAAGATGAGATTTTACTCCCGTAAGGATTTCCAGGGCAGTTCTTCTGTCCTATAGGCTCCCCATGAGTCTGAGTGAGCGAGCTCAAGCTCTCCAAGTTGTGCACCACCACCCCCCCCTCATTGTTGGGTGCACTGTTGCCAAGGGGACATCCCTGCTGCCCCCACCCTGTCGGTAGCTTCTGAGAGGACGGTGCTGAAGGCAGAACTATTCTTACTAGTTAAGCAGAACCATTGGCTGGTTTTAAGGTGTCTCCAGGGAATCTCTGTGGTTTCCGACGCTCTCAGGATAGTAGGTTCTGGGCTTCATACACCTTTCATGGCCCCAGAGAGTCTAGCGTCCACGAGACTGTTGTAGATGTTTTGAATGTTAGCTACTGGAGTGGACGGGCTGGTGAGACCTCCTTGTGATTTGACTGAGCATGTCCCTGGGGAATAACAAGGCTGAGCACGTCCCCAGCTTTCATTGGCCGCTCACTCGGCCTTTTAGGACACACCTATTCAAGTCTTTTGTCTATTGTCCAACGTACCGAAGGAGAATTTATTGACAACCAACTACATCTAGCCTACATGTCCTGCTGGATGAGTGTTGACAAAGGCATTCCCAGATGTACATCCGATCAATCCACTGATAAAGTATTTGTACTGATTCCCTCTGATGAGCAAGACTGCCTGCTACGCCTTCGGTGCTCAGAGTCTTGGTGGCTGTGAGGAGGGGAAGGAGAATGGCCAGCAGAGAGGTCTGGGTCCCCCCCACGGCTCGCTAGCTGTCCCTGTTCGAACTCCAGAGAAGCGCATCATAGTAAATGGACTCACCGCCATCGAGTTGGTCCCGGCTCCTAGTGACCCTGCAGCACAGAGTAGAACTGCCCCTGTCAACCGCTGTGGGTGCAGGAAGCCGCATCCCTTCCCTGCAGAGCGACTGGTGGGTTGGAACTGCCGACATTACGGTTAGCAGCTCAGCGCTTAACCCGCTGTGCCACTGAGGCTCTTTAGGGGGATCCATACACATCCTCTCTCTCTATATGTATGTTTAGCTCCCAGTCCATTCCCCCCATTCCCACTCCCACTCCCCACCGGCTCCTGTCTGCATTCGCGTGACTGGCCCCGTAGAGTATGTGGCATTTCTGCATCTCACCTCTTTCAAGGCATCGAGGCCCCTCGCGTGTCTTCCACTTCCTTGATGGGCAGCCTCCTGCTGTGAGGCTCGACTGCCACCGGCCTCTTGTGGGGGTGTCTGAGGGTCCCCGTCTGGAGCTGCTTCGAATCAAGCTGCCATGCACATTCACACGCCGGGCTGACGGGTTGTCCTTTCTCTTGGATCAACGCCCGGGAGTGGAATTTCTGGGTCTTTCGCCTCCTAAATCTTTTTCTTGTGAGTGTAGGTGGGGGTTTGCATTTATTTTGTGGGCGGAAGACGAGGGGGATTTCTGCTCCTCAGAAACCCACCTGGCGGGGGTTGGGGGTGGGGGGGTGCAGCTTTGTCCTCTAGGGTCCACTCCAGTCATTGTCCACTCAGACGGCAGTGAGTCTGGTCGGGTTTGGTTGTGTTGATTTCAGCTCGTCATTTTTGTATCAATCAACGATTTAAACAATGCATCCGACCTCCCTATAGGGGCCCCGCCCACCCCTCCCTGGTTCTCCCTCGCATGGGGTATTGTCTCCCCTTCACCCGGGTTCCCATCTCTGCCCTCCAGCTGGCCGCTCCCTACACTCTTTTGACCTGCCCCCCCCCCCGCGCCCCCCCACCGCCCGGCAACCTTCAAAATAAGTTTCTTTTGGTATGAAAACCCTTTATCTTGATCATTTCCTCTTCTAACACTGATCTGGTACAACCTTTGTCCTCTTGCTCGCGGCTAATTTCACGCGCCGCGATGTCCTCCAAAGCCACGGTGTCCAGAGCGGCTTCTCCGTGTCCTTGGTGCTCCTTCTCCATCCACGCGTGGAGCTGGGATCTCTGAGCCCTGTGGCAGGAGTGAGGCGCAGAGCTGGGCTAATTCTTGGAAGAGCACCGGGACTTTCCTCCCAGTCCGTCTTGGTCCAGAAGTCCTGTCGAAACCGGGCTCACCCTGCAGGTGGTTTGCAAACCAGGGACATTGCGTTGGGCAACACACCAGCTGGGCACGAGCTCTTGTGGGAGGAATCCATTCCAAATACCATCTCCTGGTCTGAGGGCCACCTCCCCTGTCTGCCTGATGGTGTGAGGTTCGCGCGCACGGTCCAATGTGCCAAGCTTGTCTTTTAGGGAGGATGCTTTCTGAGCCTCCTGTTACACCAGCTCTTGGTCAACCAGCTCTCCTTCCCTCCAAGCCAAGCATCCCCCGGCCCCTACCTCTCCCACCATGTGCGGTGGCTCTTGAATTCTCTGGTCCTTCTCAGCGGACGCTTGGTTTGAAAATAGTCTTGCGTGTGTGATCGCCGGGCCCTGGGACTGTGCTGCTCAGGGTGGGGCAGGGAGTGATGGCGGAGCATCCCGGTGATTCCCAGCTTACAGATGGGGCATCAGGGGGCGGTGTAATTCTGTGGAGAAGGAAGGCTTTGGCCAGCCCAGATGACAGAGCATGGAGTGACTGCTGGGTCATTTCTCTCCGGCACAGTGCCTCCATGGGAGCCTCTGTCAGAAGCAGATGCCATCAGAGGGTCCATTTGCCCCCAAACACCCTGTACCTGGCATGTCACAGGCCTAGAAGAACCGAATTAGAGTGGGAGCCGTCTCTGAAAAGCTTCTGGAATACGTGAGAATGCGAACCAGTCTCGCCGTACCTGCCAGAGGAGGAGTCGTTAGCTCCTGGGCAGAAATTGGCTTTTCACTGTAAACAATTATCAAGAGGATGGTAGAAGCCCCTGTGGTGTAGTGGCTACATTTTGGGCTGCTAACTGCAAGGTCAGCAGTTTAGAACCAACAACCAGCTCCATGGGAGAAAGATAGGGCTTTCTACCTCTCTACAGAGTTATAATGTTGGAAGGACCCCAGCCTGTGTGATCACGAGGTGTCTAAAGGAAGAGGTAACACGAGTTCAAAAACACTCATCCACGTTGATAGGAAGGGGACTGGATGTAGTGGAGACCCCAAGTCCACCAGCAAGACAACTGGACAGTCCCTCTTAGTAGGGCCTCACGGAATGGAGGGTAAGTCCAGGGTGTGCTGTGGCACTGATGAGCCACATAACTATCCTCTAGTTCATCAAGAGTCCCCCCCCCACTGTTGAGGTCTGTACGTTCATACCTCATTGGTCGTGTTAGACTTGGGTCCATCCATTCGTTCATTTACGATTGCGCAGTACGTGGTAGTCAAGATAGATGACCCCTCAGGGACACTGACAGGATTAACAGTTCACGGAGGGCACGGGAGGGGGACAAGGAAGGTGGGGAGGGGAGTTGATAGCACTGATAATTGAACTCTATGGGAAGGGAAGGGATATATTGGAATGAGTAAGATATGTCAATAAAAATATTATTCAAGGAAAAAAAGTTTTTTAAAAAGTTCCATTATCTTTTAATTAAATTTTCCATAAAAGTTTGAAGCTCCCTCACACGTAATGTAGATGATTATGTCATATGTAAAATGTGCAGGTGTTAATTAGTAATTATGCAAATGAATTATTTTCTTTAAAAAAAAGAGTTACAATCTTGGAAACTCACAGGAACAGTTCTACCCTATCCTATAGGGTCACTATGAGTCAGCATCCACTTGATGAGTCTGGTTTGGGTTTATTATTTATGGTGTTCCATGTGCCAGAGCTTTTGCACACCAGTCCCCAGGGACGACGATCTGGATTCTATGGAGAGGCCAGGGACGATGGTCCAGTTTGTCTAGATTCTATGGAGAGTCAAGGGACGATGGTCTAGCTTGTCTAGACTCTATGGAGAGGCCAGGGACGATGGTCCAGTTTGCCTAGATTCTATGGAGAGGCCAGGGACGATGGTC